CCCCTCCAACACCACGGGCTGCACCTGCCGTCCTGCCTGGCCAGAAGGGACCGCCAACCAACCTGCCCTGGGAACGGAGCCTCGGGGACAAGGAGGGTGACACCAACACACACACACACACACTCCTCTCCTCACACTCGCACGCTCAGTACTACCTCTTCAGCAAGACTGACCTCGGGCTTCCTCCCTCCTCCCTCCTCCCTTTGGTCCTCAACCCTCTCCCTTAAAAGCACGGGACCTTTTGCATTGCCTCCCTAAAGGACACTTTCTCACTATATACATATTTATATCCCTGGTAGCCATTCACATTTGCATTTTCCCTGAACATCATCCCTCAGTTTTTGTTAACCCTTAATAAACCAATTAGTTTGTGGAGCAAGCCTTGGTTTTAGAGGCAATTTCTGGGCGTGCTGGGGGTGTTTTCTAACTACTACCCTGAAATATGGTCCCACAGTGGCCGTTCCTCCGTGAGAGGCGAGTGCCACATGTGACCCTCAGTCTTTTTTAAAAAGTCCCTCCACATCAGGAGGGGGAGTCGCAAAAGCACCTGACAGCCGGTAGCCCCCCAGTACCGGCTGGTGACACTCACCCAAAATTTTGAACTCTGGTGAAGAGGCACCATAGATTTATGCTATTAGGTCTTATTATGCTATTAGGGGAGACCTTTTTAATGAATATGTGTCTAAAGGGTGGGTGCAAGGAGGATGGAGCCAGACTCTGTTCAGTAGTTCCCAGTGACAGGATATGGGGCAACAGGTACAAGCTGGAACATAGGAAGTTCCATTTAAATATAAGGAAAAACTTCTTTACTATGAGGATGACCAAGCATTGAAACAAGTTGCCTAGGGAGGTTGTGGAGACCTCTTCTCTGGAGATATTCAAGACCCACCTGAATGCAGGTCCTAAGGAATCTTACTAGATGATCTATAGATGTCCCTTCCAACTCTGACAATTCCATGATTCTGTGACCTTCCAGTTTCCCACAGACTTCCACAGTTCCCTTTTTGTCTAGGTACCTCATTTTCTTTGCCTCCTTCTGACCCTCTTTCTCCTGGCTCTCCTTCTGACCCAAGTACTGTGGTGGTGCAAAATTCCCCTTCCACTTGGTATTTGGTGTGATTCTCCCTCCCTGAGCCACACATCCACTTGAGACAAGTCAGATATGCATAGTGAAAGACAGTGTACCAGAGCCTTAAGGCACCCTCTTAAACATGTCTGGCTCCTCTTCTCCCTGTTCTTTGTGAACAACATTTATGATCTCTAGAGGTCCCTTCCAACTCCAGCAATTCTGTGTTTCTGTGATCTAGATCATAAGCAGTGGACCAGAGCTTTGAGTTATTCCCTTAACCCACTTGGCTTCTGTCCCCACCGTATCACCTTGGAACAGTAATGGCAATCAGTCACTTCCTGACAGCCTAATGCCTCTGTATTTGTGGCCCAAAGGGTGGGTCATAAAAGAACTCAAAAATCCAGCAAGTTCTGGCCCTGTACAGCTGGTGGAATGTGCTAGAATATTTCATCATCTGAGTTGGGCTGGAATGGAAAGACCTGACAACAGTAAATTCTCTTGGATCCTATTAATTGCAATGCTAAACAAGACCCTTTGAGAGACCCTGGAATGCAGCAGATTGTGACCAGAATCTCCCTTGAGCTGGGACACCTCTCAGGGATTTCTTGATCTCTGTCTGCTGGCAAACCTGACAGAAGACCAGGGTGAGATCAACCTAGAATCACAGAATCATAGAATAATAGAATGGTTTGTTTTGGAAGGACCTTAAAGATCATTTAGTTCCAACCCACCTGCTGTGGTGTCATGTTGAAAAGGGCAACATTTACTTGTCCCAGAGTTCCAAAGAAGACTTTCACTGAGACAGCTTCATAAAGTTGCCACGTCAGAGTCCCACCAAAAGGACTTTCACTGAAGCACTTTGCCCACCTCAGAGCCCTAACAAGGACTTTCACTGACTACACAATAGAGTCCAAAGGGTGGTGGTCAATAGTGCAGAGTCCAGCTGGAGACCTGTAACTAGTGGAGTCCCTGAGGGATTAGTGCTGGGTCCAGTCCTGTTCAACATCTTTATCAATGACCTTGATGACAGGAGACAGAGTGTCTTCTCAGCAACTTTGCTGATGACATGAAGCTGGGAGGATTGGCAGATGCACCTGAAGGCTCTGCGGCCATTCAGTGAGATTTGGACAGGCTGAAGAGCTGGGCAAAGAGGAACATAATGAGGTTCAACAAGAGCAAATGCAGAGTCCTGCACCTGGGAAGGAACAACCAAATGCACCAGTACAGGCTAGGTGATCTTCTAGAGAGCAGCTCTGTGGAGAAGAACCTTGGAGTCATGGTAGACAACAAATTATCCATGGGACAACAATGTGCCCTTGTGGCCAAGAAGGCCAATGGTATCTTGGGGTGCATTAAGAGGAGTGTGTACAGCAGGTTGAGAGAGGTTCTCCCCCCACCTTTACTTGGCCCTAGTGAGTATTATGCCCAATTCTGGGCTCCCCAGTTCAAGAGGGAAAGGGGTCTACTGGAGAGAGTCCAACAGAAGACTATGAGGTTGATTAAGGGACTAGAACACCTGCCTTACTATTAAAGGCTGAGGGACCTGGGGCTTTTCAGGCTAGAGATGAGAAGATTGAGGGGGGATCTAATTAATGTCTATAAATACATGAGGGCTGGGCATCAAAAAGGCAGGGACAACCTCTTTTCACTTGTGCCCTGTGATAGGACATGGGGCAATGGATTCTAACTCGAGCACAGGAAGCTCCACCTCAACATGAGGAAGAACTTCTTTACTGTGAAGGTTACAGAGCACTGGGACAGGCTCCCCAGAGAGGTTGTGGAGTCTCCTTCTCTGAAGACTTTCAAGACCTGTCTGGATGCCTTTCTGAGTGATCTGCCATAGCTTTCTCTGGTCCTGCTCTGACAGGGGAGTTGGACTCGATGATCTTTTGAGGTCCCTTCCAACCTCTAACATTCTGTTATTCTGTGATTCTGTGAGACAGTTTAAAAGCAGAGTAAAGATAGTTTATTGATGCAACAGTTATAACAAGTCCTGGATAGCTGATGATAAATTCACTAGATGCATAGCTTTGAGGTGAAGATAGAAAAGACAAAATAAAATATCTAACAGTGTCAGAGGTGCAAGTCTTGCCAAAAGGCCCCTTGTTTTGGGGGAGAAGAGAGGATTCAGGCCCATCAGCCCATCTGGATAGCTGTTGATCTCTTCCTCTGAAGAAAAAGAGAATTCTAGGACTAGTTTATACTAAATGATGAGATGGAACTAGGTCATAAATAATTTTCTGATTGGTACCTACACAGGCTGGTATTACTTATTAATTATGAGAGGGGAGGGGAAAAGAACCACTGTAGCTCTTGATGCAGATTTCTCAGATGCCATAATTTCCATTGTTTTGGCTTATCGCAATGACTGCCAGGCCACAGACTCCCAGGGCCTTCTTCCTGTTCCAGAATTTGTACTAATTGCCAGTCATCAAGTTTGCAGTCAAGATGCTTGAGCCAGGCATCAGAGTTTCTTCTTGGTGGATACTTTGGCTAACACAATGATGTATTCCTTCTGCCCCTACTTCTTATCTGGTATAAGAATCACAGTGACTTAGCCTGCTGTCTTTTGCAAGAGAGTCCATCTGGGGTGCTGGGGAGAGAGGGTAGACAGACTGGCAGGACTGCGTTCCTTTTGTTAAATTTAACAAAAGGGTCTGTCCTGTTGTCCCACACATGGGCAGAGACACCTCACACTAGACCACATTGTCCAAAGTCCTGTCCAATCTGGCCTTGAACACTTCCAGGGACGGGGCATCCGCAACTTCCTGGGCAGCCTGTTCCACTGTCTCACCACCTTCACAATAAAGAATTTCTTCCTAATGTCTTCAGAATCATGGAATGGTTTGGGTTGGAACCTCCGTGAGTCTCATTTGCTGCCTGTGAAGGAATGCTGATGCATTGTCAGTATTCACTCCACACTTGAGAAGTGGGAAATTTTAACAATAGGCTGACCTCTCCCATCCACCTCTCTCTGTGTTTGAAAAGACACATTTGCCTTCATGAGAGTGGGTGTCTTTTTCCATTGGATCCAAATATCTCTCTCTATCTGTGTCTCTTTGTATGCTTTTTGTTTATATATATGTACATATATATACTTTGATTTAGGATACCTTGTAGTAAGTTAGTGTGAATCCTGTAATTCTCAAATCTATAATTAAGTTGTTGTTTTAATTATAACATATTCTACTGAATCACTTTGTTAGTCTTTAAATTGGTTAATTATTAAGGGCTGCTAAAATGTAACCTTTTGATCTACCTCACAATAAATCTGCTAAATCATGACCATGTCAAAATATTTCATCCACAACACCCACTCCCACTTTGGCGTACAAAGACTGAGCTTTGTTCATGACCTCAGAAGACCTCACTGCAAACTCCTGCATGTTTACTCCTTCAGGAAAAAAAAAAAATCTTACTAATTACTCCTTTTCGTCATGATGGCTGCTTTTATCATCTCCTACCATAGCAGCTCTCCAGGACCACTGTCTGTGTTTGAGCCAGGATGAAGCCAGTTTTCCTTTTACTGATTTTTTTTTTCTTCAGTAAGCTGTCCTTTAACTAGCAGCAAGTGTTCCAGCTAGTGGACTGATAGTGCTAGAATGTTTATGTTGCTGCCAAGATTTCCAAGGTCACACCTTTGCCCTTCCATTTCAGGATCTACCGGGAGATCTGTGACCCTGACCCCAGCCCTGTAGGAGGCTGAGTTAGACAGACAGCAAAATTGGCCAGAGATATTCCATTCCATATATCTATGTAAGCTTAGAGGAAGATCAGAGATCACAGAAGACAACTTCTTTCCTGCTTCTTCTTCCCTTCTCTTCCATCCATTACCAGCTTCCAGGGAGGACTCCATCTGTCTATCACTGTCAACCCTCATAACTCTGCCCTCAGCTTCTGTCTTCTCTGCTGCTTTCTCCAGCAGCACTTGGGGACTTTTCAGGACTGTTCACACCTCAGGAGATGCCATGGGAGTTGCTGGGGGTGGGGGGAGGCTTTTGCACATTCCTGAACATATTTGTATATAATCGTACATATTTTCTTTTATTACTGTTTAATTAAAGCAGTCTAGTTTAATCTTCAATAGAGTTTCTCTCCCTCATTTTCTCTCTCATTCCCTCCCTGGGGGAGGGGAGAGGGGATCAAAAGCGTTGTTGTCTCTGGTATAATTGCTGAATCTGAGTCAAACTGTGACAGAAAAATGGTCAAAAGCACTGTGCATGGAGGAAGACACTAGTCCACAGACATGGGAATCTTCCAGGACTTCATGAACGGAGAGACTCCACTTCCTGGCACACTGGTTTATTCTCCAGTACTGGAGAAGATATATTCCAAGAAGAATACCTCACGCTGGTGGAGGGGGTATGGGGTGTGAGGAGAGGAGATTAAACAGAGTACCTTCTCCTTTGTGTAGCTGACGTGTGATGTCAGCAGTCTTAGTGTGTCTTCTGCTCAGCTATCTTGTAGCTCCTGACAAGATTTTCTTTCCTCTGGCCCTTTGGACATCCAAATCTGCCATCCAAAAGCCATCAATCATTTTCTCTGTGATAACAACTCCTGCCTTGCCCTCTCCTGCACTAACACAGTGCTCTGTCTCACCTGCATTGTGGTCTGGAACAGCTCCACTTTATATCAAGCTGTATATTAAGCTTCACCATGATTTTAACTCTTTTGTTGAAAAGCTTAATTTACAAAATCAGAAATGAGACAGTAGAACTCTTGGGAGGACTTTGCAGAAGAAGTAAAGTAACGTTTCAGTGTCTCACTGTAAGCAGAGAGTAATTCTCTCCCAGCTTCTGTCTCCCCAGAAGTTCATAAAGAGTGTAAATTCATCTGGACATCATTGTTGGAAAGAAAACAAAATGTCCACAGTAAGCTTCTCTCCATATTGTGTCCAGTTAAACCTTAACCCTGATGGTCCTATATCCTTTTGGTCATTATAGGAAGAATTTATAATGCCTTCACTTCCAACTGATCAAAGAAACCTGTCATGGGCCGGTATCAGGGGGGCTCCCAGCTGTCAGGTGTTTCCATGGCTTCCCCCGCCAATGTGGAAAGGTTTGTGAATGAGACTGAGAGTCACACGTGGTGCTCGCCCCTCACAGAGGAATGGCAACTGGGGGACCATATCTTAGAGGGTAGATTAGAGTACCCTCTCACCACGCTTACTAATTATTACTGAGACCAATGTGTGTGTGTGTGTGTGTGTCTGTGTGTGTGTGTGTGTGTGCAGTTACCCAGCATCCATAGTGCGTGGCTCCCGGGATGCAGCTGGCAGGCTTGGCAGGAGAGCCGTGGTGGGGCCAGCATCCCAGGAACTGGGGCAACCACTCCCAGCAGCAGCAGATGCGGCAAACGCAGCTCTAATCCTGGGGCAGGTGGCAAGCTCAGGCTGGGCAAGCTCCTACTGCCGTCTGGTTTGGTTTAGGCTGGGTAGGCAGCAATCCCTTGGGAGCGGGCAGGCCTCAGTGAACAGGCTTGAACCCCCACAGAGCAGGCAGGGCCCCACAGAGCAGGAACGATCCCTGCAGAGCGGGCACAGGTGGATCCCCCTTTCTGCGTCTCCGGGCAGCGGTCGTGGGGCAGCCCCCTCTTCCCTCTCGGCTCCTCCAGGCAGCGGGGCTGGCATTCCAGGGGCTTCTGGTGCTGCAGCAGGGTCTCCTCCCAGGCAGGGAGAGAGCCATGGCCCTGCAGATCTTGCCCTCTTTTATAGATCAGAAGTCATTGTTCAAGTAAAATATCACTGTTTAAATGAGCCAATTAGCACTGGCCAGGTACGTGCTCTGTCAGAGGCATCTTTAACCTATTGTCCATTTTTCTGCCAGTTATCATAACCCCTATGCTTTGTTCTTGCTGTGGACTTACCTGGTGAAGCAAGGGGCCTGTTCCAGTCTGTCTTTGGCTAAATCAGCAAAATGACGCCACTCTGGCTTTGCTGGCTTGAAAGGCATTTTGTTTAGTCTTATGTGGGGGGAGAGAAGATGGACCGTTCCCTACAAAACCCTACCAGAGAAGGGTCATTTGTTCTGAAGCTCAGAAAAAAAGAAATAATTAAGTGACAATAAGACTGAAGAAAATGTATCTCAACACAAAGGAGACCATAAGATAACCTTTGTTTTAGATAAAGCTCTATGTCAGTTGGATCCGTCAGCTGGTTATGTAAACAACCTTCCTAAAATACATAATCTAATGTAGCACCTGATCCAGCCAGGATGGGGAAAGTGTATACGTGGCTCAGCCCTACCAGAGACAATCAGATATATGAAATTTGAAGAAAGCAGTGAACTTAAACTGGCTTCAACACATGAATGGGGACACTCAGCATCATGATGGTGAGAGTATAGGAACTTGTAAAGGGAATCACATTTGTATTGTAACCCAGCTGTACATTGCAATTATTATACCGTACTTCTGGTGTGATTTCAATACACTGCTGGGTCATTTTTCTAAAACAAAATGCCAAGGAAGGAGACCCTCAGCTCATCCCACACCCACCACATTGTGATCCAGTAACAGATATCCTGAGCCTGAAGGAGGATCACAGGCCCAAAGCAAAGCATCTGACCTGCAAAATGTTATCCCTGGCAGCACGACTGCTTAAAAGGGGGCCCATCTTAAATGCCTCTATGGGAATGCCAGAAGCATGGGGAAAAAACAAGAGGAATTGCAGATATGTGCATGCCTGCAGGGCTAGGATGTTATTGGTACCACTGAAACATGGTGGAATGACTCCTATGACCAGAGAGTGGATATGTTTGGGTATAAACTCTTCAGGAAGGACAGGCAGGGCAGAATTCTGCCCTGGGCTCAGGGATGTGGTAAAGTCACCTGAGTTCCTTGTGTTCCACTATGTTGCCCTTTCAGCAGGTATCAGGGAGATTAGGGAGAATCTCCCTGTAGAATGACCTGTGATTGTGAGGCTTCCTCTAGCAGCCTGAAGAAACCTTTGTCTACTTCCTCTCCTTGATCGAGTGGCTTGTAGTAGGTGTCCAGTGTGACACTACCATGTTGGTGTGTCCTCCAAGCCTTTTCCAGAAGCTCCTGACTGTCTTTCCCGTTCTATGAAGGAAAACTCCTACCCATCTCCAACATTTAGGAAACACTCTAAAAGACTAGAAGTGTCAAACACCTGGCTGTGAAGACTGTGTTATCTCCAGAGCTGAAAAAAAAAAAAGTAGATGGCAAATACTGATGTCTAAATACATAAATACCAAGGTATATTTCATCCTACCTCATTTTAGATGTCAGAGCATCTATCACAGTCAAAGTCTGAATCATAACAATCTAAATAAAGTCTGAGCTTTGCATCTGGTGCCCTTACTCAGGCCAGTGGGGAGAGATATTGCAGGGGAAACAGAAGTAGTGTTCCATTGTAGGGTGATGGATCACCCACAGAACGTTCTGCTACCTTTACATGGGTGAAAGAAAGATCTGAGATTAATGCCGTTGATACACCATAAGTAGCTTTATCATCTCATTGAAGACATCTGCAAGGAATCGGTCTCGTAAACCTTCCTTTCATGTTATACTTGAACAAAACCAGTGTTCCAGGATGTAGCTTGTCTGAGCTACTTGAGACTTCTTTAGAAATGAATTTTGAGAGAAAATTCTAATTAGAAAGGAATCAGTCTTCCTGAACTCCAGAGAAGGTGTCTTCATCTGAGTTATTACTCTTTGCTCCAGTGATCAGCAGGGGAGAAAAATTAACTCAGGCCTTAGTTCGCCTCCTCCAAAAGTAGCAATACAGGACAGGCAAGCCATGTTTTAGAAGGACCCATTTTTCTCCCAGTGGCTGTCAGAAGAGTTTGAAGACTAAAGCTGGCAGAAGAAAATGCACAGTAGACATCCAGGTTTTTTTGAGATTATTTCCACCCAAAAATGCAATGTATACACACTGTCCAGTACCAAAACAGAGATGTTGTGCATTACAAAATCACTTTCTGCAGTCCCTGTGTCAAGTCCAAAGGCTCAATGCAGTTAAGGAGATGTGGTTTATGTGACAGATGCAGCTGATCACCGCAACTTGCTCAACTTCTCTCCTGCAACCAAAAGCCCTCTCCCTGCCACCTCTCTCTCCCTGGAGGACTTTGGACATGGACAAGATTCATATACATGAGGGAGATGCTTGTACAGGCTGGTATGGCAGGTAATGAGTTCACTTATGATTGTTTGATGAAGCAAGCCCCTCACACACTTGACAATGCATACTCTTCATGCAATTTGTTCACAGCATTCAACTAGATCAGTGGGCATTTGTTGACATTGGCTTTACAACCATTTCTGCCCTCTGTCCCAGATTGTCCTTATGACCAAAATGTGCAGATACAAGATGGACAAGTGGAGTTTAAAGTGGGTGAAAAATTCACTAGATATCCAGGCTCAGAAGATTCTCACCAGAGGTAAAAACTTAATCTCCCATAACGCAACCTTGATCCACTGAATTTGCAACATCAGAATGTCTTCTCATTACTGCAAGCAAAAGACAAAGGTGCAGACAAAAGGAGACAGAAAGAAATGCCATTGTCTTGAGAGCTTAATAAAACCCTTCTGTTTACCATTTCCCTTGCCACTAAAAACAAACCAATGAAACTGGAAAAGCTCCCTAATTAGCAACATGGTAATGACTCTTCTTCCAAGTCTTAATGAGTGGTAAAAGACATTCCACACTTCAGCAGGGGCAGGGCTGGGTGATGCTAGCCTCTAGGTCTCCTGAAGGGGATTGCACAGATCTTTAAATCATTACATAAAACCTGGTTGGTGGGAGCCTTGAGTCATCTTCTCATGCTACTGTGGAAAAGCTCTTCCTTTAGGAAGTCTAGTTTGACTAGTGTGTGCCAAGGGGATCCAATTCTGTGT